TGTTTAATATTTTTCCGGGAACAAAATGATAATTTGAACAAAGTTAAAGGTGCTTATAATAGTGTACACATGAATTTACTTCCTAATTTCTACTATTTGTGAAATCATTTAGGAAAAAAGGAAATTGACCATGTGCCTTACTTGGATTTTGGACAGCCTAAAACCAATGCTGATCTAAAGTCCAATCTTTGCAGCCAAACTGGCAAGGATAATCTTTGCAGAGTAGAGTGGTAAACAGTATATATTTATATGGATAAATAATATAGCCCTGTGGCCACATTCGTGTTGCAGATGACTGCATAGAAGACTCTTAGAACTCCACTGACATGAATTCTTCTATTTTTAGGGTTCAAGAAGTGTAGACTTTACATAAAGAATAGTAGATATCAGGCATCCAGATATTTTGAATCATCTGCAATAGATGAATAACAGAATAGAATAACATAGGCAGACATCTATTCATAAATGTGCTTTGCAAATGAACTTTTAGAAATAGTATTCAGGGGGTTTATAGAAAAACACTCTTTTAATAAAATCATCTCCAAGAATATCATCTATCCAAGAACAAGGCTTGTAGTTCCCGTCATTGGATTTCTTAAAGTGAAGTTGACAGGAGCAGAGAGCAAGAACAGTAGTTCTGGACCTAAGGGCCTGAAGTTCTTTCATGACAGATGACAAAAATACCCTGCTTCCTTATTCCCTAAGAGGAAAACTGGCCATGAACTTGGAACTTTAGCAAGACACTTAGCAAGATCTCTCATAATCTGTGGTCAAGAAGAAAAATATAGGCTAGATGATTATATAGTTAATATGATTCATAGCTAGCTGAAACAACATATGCACAAAGGTGCTAATTAATGTACTGATATCAAGCTGAAGGAGCTCTCCAAATGTTCTACAGCACTTTGCCCTTTGCCCAGTGCTGCCTTTTATCTATTATCAATAATTTGGATGAATATATAAAATAGTTATCAAATGTATGGGTAAGATCCAAATACATTAGAGCACAGAAATAGAATCTAAACAGTCTGGAGTAATGTGCCAAAATTAATAAGGTAAAGTTTAAGTAGGATAAGTATAAAGCTCTGTACTTTGATCCAAAAAGTTCTGCCTTGCTAAAGAATGGGATACCTAAAATTTTGTGAACCAACAGCATATGGATGTAGCTGTTAAAAAAAGTCCGTTAAATCTTAGGCAGCATTGTAAGAATAGATATTTGTTGGATAGTAGAAGGAACATTGGTTCTAGCATCAGAAAACTCGGTCAAATTCCAATTCTGCTACTTTAGCCATGTAAAGTCTTTAATCCTTACTTTCTTCTCAAGGTTGTTGTAAAGTTAAAATGCTTTAATATGTCTACATTCCAAGCATTTGTGTGTAATGACTATGACTTAGAAAAGTTACCATTTACAATAAAATAGATGACTGCCACTCCATTTTGTCCTAGAAAAGATGGTACTGGGAATGAATTTCAGGTGCCGCACTTACAGGCAAACTGGAGCTACTTACAAAGACAGTGACCAGGATGGGTGAGCAACTCAAAAGAGAACATGAACTGCTGCAAGGACTGAGGATAACTGGCTTAAACAATAGTGGATTCAAGAGACACAATATCTACCTCCTGGAGGGCTCCAAGGAGGGAGAACTATTGATGGAGGATGGAAATTACAAGAATGTGGGCCAGGGTGACCACTTGGTGGGGATGTTGTGAGTGATTTCAGCACAACTGGGTGGTTGGATTACATGGCCTTCATCAAGTCAGTCTGATGTTATATTCCTAGGACGCGTTCAATGAAGTGCTTTCTAACAAGTTCTGCCTCAAAGTAATTCAAAATCATCTTGGGTTGGACTGATTTCTAGCCCTGCAATTATAACACCTTCCCTCCAGCTCTAAGACGAATCTTATTTCTTCACTCTGCCTTCTTTGACCAGTTTATTCTTGCTCTCTACTTTGTGAATTTTTGGTCATTTAAAATGCCATCTTTTTCTGAACTATCCAAAGGACACAATAGAAAGGGTAATTTGTGTACACTTTTGGGGAGATAGGCCAGCAAAGGATGACTTCCTGGTTGCTGAAATAAGAAGGTAAAGTGGGAATTAAGAACAGGAACTTAAGAGCTCCAGAGCTGGAGTTGTGGTCCAAGAAGTAGGGAGGGCGCCAACCCTAGTGAAGGCTTTTATTGAGAATTTTGCGTATTGAGGAGGAAGCAGAGACCAAAGGTCCTCAGCCTTGAGCCTGCTGGCCTACTACAAGAACTCAAAAGTTGTTTGCTCAACGCAAGACTTCCTCTGTTTTCCAGAGGCAAAAGGAGGTCTGGACAAGTTGCTCGGCATCTATCTCCAGCCTGTTCCAGATCTCAACTGGAAAAGTGCCTGGGGCAACCAGAGAGGCTACCCACCTCGGCTGGGCCAGGGCTCTCCCGCTTCCCTCCTAAGTAACCCCAGGGAATTTCTCTCTTTTTTTCCAGCCGCTTGTACGGGGAAAATTGGCAGCGCGCCGGTTGCCAGGGACGCGACTGCCAGTTCCGTGACTGAAGTGAAAGAGGACGCCTGGGGGAGGGACACCAGGCTCTTGACTCGCTAGGGCGTGAAAGCTTATTTGTATAACTTTGTCTGATAGCATCTGATTGGCTGAAGCCAGAGGGGCGGTGGTGGGGTGATTCTGAGGGCCCCGCAGTCGTGGCCCGGGGACCTTTCCATTCTGGAGCAATCCCAGTGTCCGTGAGCTGTTGCACCGCCTCAGGGGAGCTGAGGAGGCCCAGTGTGGGAAGTTTTGTAGGCAGGTGCATGAACCTTCTTTCTCTTATAGTGTTTAAGAAATGTGAAAGAACAAGGGCCAGAGTAAAGAAACTGGGGGACAGAGAGTGACCTCGAGACAGTGAAGAAGGAAAGAAACAGATTAGAAGGGGGTGGAGGCCATAAAGAAGGTGTTAGGGGCTCTCTCCCAAGCTGCCCTCCCCCCCGCCTTTTTTTTTTTGCTGGGATCCCTTTGCTAGCTCATTTCTATTTCCGTTTTCGGAGAGTTATTATTACACTCAACTGGAACTGAGAAGAAAAGAGGCAGAATTCTGGCGTTTCACTACTAAAATCTGAATACCAAGTTTTAATCCAGAGGCATAGGTACCTAAAATATCAAGAAGGGCTGTCACTGGGGACAAAATGCGTTTTAACTAACAAGAGGTTCAGCTACTGAAAACTTGATATGTATTTTTTCTCAAGGTTTTTTTCTTGGAATGCTTTGTATCTCAGTGGACATAAGAATTTAAAAATCAACCCAGATTTTTTTGTACTCTCTTGCTGTCCAAGCATGGCATGGGGGGTGGGGGAGGGTCTGTGACTCATTATATTTCCGTATTTTTAAGACTCCTATCAATGCCTCTAGGCTATGATGAGGTCCTATACTAAGTACAAATAATCTTTGTAAAGTACTTTACAATTCACATAATTTTAAACTCCATTACATTCAACCAAAATTTGGCACTACCCATGGGAGAAGCTTCATTTTATTGATAAGGAAATGAAAGCTGTAAGTTTGTTTCTGTGTGTGCAAAGAGGGAGGGTGAGATTATTTTAATACTTTGATTTATATAATGCTTTTTGCTCTACATTTTTCTTTTCATTGATCCTCCCAAGGACCCGGATAAGTAGGTTGAGCAGGTAACATCCTAATTTTATAGATAAGAAAATATGGACTATAATTTGGAGCTAATAAGGTCTGAGGGGGTGGGTTCCCCAGACTGGGCTGTCTTCGGGGGTCACTGACTTGTGTCCTGTTGTCAACAAGTGAATCCTTATTATACCAAGTCAGATTTTCATTCAAAAGACAATTAGGAAGATGGTTTGTCATGTGAAAAAAAACCCCTTAACTATAGATTATAAGGTGAAAGAAAAAGGGAACGGAATCCCTTTATTATGTGCTCTCTTCTTTTTGGCAGTTTTTGTCCTGCAAGAAAACTGTAGTAAAAACACTCCTGGAAGGTTTTAGAGAAAAACTTTAAAATTAGAAACTTGATGTTGAATTATCTGTAGGACTGTTGGAAGACTGGTAGATGAAGGACATAGCAAGGGAAATGAGATGGTAAAACAAAAACAAAAATGAAAATGGGCTGTGGTTTGGAGTCCCAAAGTGAAATTTAAGGTGCAAAGCCCTTAACAGTTAAATTTAGTACATAGCTTAGGCCCAATTAAATGATATTGCTTTTTAAGAGCTATCTTTGGAAAGGAACATTTTAAATTCACCCTCCAATATTATTGGACACCTTCCCGGACCCTCCTGTTAAATGATTTAAGACCTAACACCAGTCCTAACTACTGTCACCCTCTCCAGCATCTCTGAGTAGCCAGACTTGGACAAAAGTCAGGAATTTTGGCTACTTCTTCCCATGCCACATTTGATCTCTTGGGAAAAAAATGTGCAGATCCAATGGTGGGTCACTTTTCATCCCTGGCAGCAGCTGTTACAGGAAAGATTGGGAGACCTCAACCGGAGGAAAGCAAACGCCTCACAGGCTCCCCTCCCCCAGCAGCCGGCCAAAGCCAGAGCCACAGCAGGAGCACTATGTGTCCACGTGCACCTAGCATGCTCTACCACCCTTCTTACATAAGAGCCCCAGGACAGAGTTGCGGCTGCTACGGGTCCTCTTCCCCGACGGCTAATAATAAACCAAGACAGTAATTTCTGGTCTGCAGCCACTATTGATGCGGGGTTGGGGGGCTCACTTTGCAACTGGGGCGTGTGCGTTTCGGTCATCTCACATTGAGATCGCATTCAAGGTCCTCCCAACCCCGCCACACCAGCCTGTCCTTTTGCGAGTCCGGACGCTAGCGCCTTCTTCACTCTCGCAGTGCCGTGCCCTCCCCCGCTGGCCTGATCTACTCTCGCGCTGGTGGGGTGCGGCTGTTGTAGCCCTGCCTGGCCACTGCGCCCTCCCTCCGCCTGGGTATCAGGCGAGAGGCGGAGCTTGCCAGGCGCGCTCCGCCCCCACCATAGAAAGGTCCCGGAGAGTGTTACTCGCGGTCATCCCGGCTCAGGATTTTTATCTGCACTGACGGGGAGGCGGGAGGAGGAGACACCGGGGGTGGCTCTGATCGCCGGCGACACCTTTCTGGGCTCTATAAATTGAGCACCTGGGATGGGTAGGGGGCCGACGCCACCACAGCCGCCCACAGTTGCAGCCGGTCACTGACTACAGCAGCGCCCGCAGGCAGCAGCCTCCAAAAGCGAGAACTCTGAGCTACTCAGCAGAAGAGGATCTCGAGGAGCAGGAGGAGGTGGGTGCCCCTGTCCCATCTCTGCCCCCGTCAGCATAGGCGCTTGGACTCAGGCTTTTTGGAGGACGACGGGGGTGGGGAGCACCCCTTCGTTCTTGCCGCGGCCCTCGGCGGGCAAAGAGGTGGGACAGCCCGGCTTCCGGAAGCCACCTGAGCGCCGTCCCAAGAGAGCAGTAATCGGAAAGGGAGGTGCGCGCGGGCGGGGGCGCCAGGCATCCTAGCCGAGTGAATAATCTTCTCTTTCGTCCCAGTCTCTCAGCCAAGCCAGGGCTCGACCCACAGACCACGAGCCGCCATTGCGAGCTTTAGGACGCCAAAGCCCTGAGAAGCCGCGCATCCCGCAGGGCAGGGCTGTGAGCGAGACGAGAGTTGGAGAGGGCGGAGGAGGAGCTGAAAATCCCGCCAGTCCGGCTTTAGCCAAGCCCCCGGCGCGGGCCTCTGAGATCTCGTGAAGGCGGGCACCCCCTCTCCCCAGCCGGTCATTCCGTGCCCCTGTGCTTCGGCGCCCGTGCGGCAACCATGATGCAAATCTGTGACACCTACAACCAGAAGCACTCGCTCTTTAACGCCATGAACCGCTTCATCGGCGCGGTGAACAACATGGACCAGACGGTGATGGTGCCCAGCCTGCTGCGCGACGTGCCCTTGGCCGAGCCCGGGCTGGACAACGACGTCAGCGTGGAGGTAAGCAGCAGTGGAGGCTGCCTGGAGGAGGGCACGCCCCCGGCCCCCGGCCCCGGCAGTGCCAAGAGCAGCTTTTTTGCGCCCTCCCGGGACATGTACAGCCACTATGTGCTGCTCAAGTCCATCCGCAACGACATCGAATGGGGGGTTCTGCACCAGCCGCCTCCGCCAGCGGGGAGCGAGGAGGGCAGCTCCTGGAAGTCCAAGGACATCCTAGTGGATCTGAGCCACTTGGAGGGCGCGGACGCCGGCGAGGAGGACCTGGAACAGCAGTTTCACTACCACCTACGCGGGCTGCACACTGTGCTCTCCAAACTTACGCGCAAAGCCAACATCCTCACCAACAGATATAAGCAGGAGATCGGCTTCAGCAATTGGGGACACTGAGGCGGGCCGCCCGCGGCTGCTCAGCACCCTTCCCGGCCCCATCTCTCACCCTCTACTTCCTCAAAGCTGTATTTCTGGCCGTAGGGCGCGATGGGCCGACTGCGAAGTTGGGGAGCTGTGTACGTGAAGGGGGCGCAGTGGGGCTGCACGGAGGAGGGGGCTTCTTTTGGGAGAAGAGAAGAGAAGGAAGTGGTGGCGGGTGGGGGTGCAAATCAAGGATCTTCTTCCCTCCCACGGGGTGATGGGGGTCTGTGTTCTTCTTTGGTGGGGATGGGACTGGGCTGACGCCCTGCATTCAGCCTGTGCCTTTCCTGGAGTTTCTTTTTTGTTCTTTCCGGAGAAGGGCCGAGAAATGGCCATGCCAGGGCGCGGCGCTGGGTTGCCACACTTTGGAGCTCCGCCCCGAGCTGGGTGCTGGGGAAGGCGGGGCACGCAGCAGCCTCCCGCCTCCTGGTGGTTGGGCTGATGGAGGCCGCAGCGTTGCTAGGATTGCATCAGTTTTCCTGTTTGCACTATTTCTTTTTGTAACAGTGGCCCTGTCTTAAATATTTGGAATCTCCTCCTTGCTCTGAAATTTAAGCGATTCCATTGTGATAAGCGCACAAACAGCAATGTCTGTGGATAACCGGTACTACTTTATTAACGATTTTCTGTTACACAGTATAGTTGTCCTGTGGCACGCCTACCCCATGCCTTTCATGCCACCCCTGCCCCCATCCCAGTGTGTATAAGTTGGCACTGTGTCAGCTTGTACGAACCTTGCCACTCAGCCAGTGGAAATGATAACATGAGAAAGTGGACCTATCTGAAATGGAACCAACTGACATTCTATCAGTGTTGTACATAGAATGATGAAGAGTTCCACTGTTGTTATGTCTTAAATTTATTTAAAACTTTTTAAAATCTAGATGTAGACTATTCTAAAAAATAAAAGGCAAATGTGTTAACAAAACTCGACAAAAGTTGTTGCTCTTTAATTTGTCAATGAATGGATTATTAGTTAAATAAAAATAAATTAATTGATTTTATAGCAAAAGTAAAATTTATTTTCCTTCTGGTATTTCAAAATGCTGGATAATCATCTCTCAGCATTCAGATTTGTCTGAGAAGTAGCTACAGACAAAATTACTTACTAGTTTTTATTTCTAGTTCAGTACCAAGGTAGGCCCATACAACACAACAAAAAGTTCATAAATATTCAAAGTATTTAGACATTCATATATTGCATTTTCTAACCAAGTTGACCAGCTTATTAAAGTGCTAAATTAACATTTTGATGTTTTAAGAACCTTAAGCACAAACTAAAGTGTTTTGGGGCATTAAAAACTTATTTTAAAAGTAGAAATGTCTTTTGTCTACTTAGTAGCAGTGAAGAATTAGAAAAGGCCAGCTAATATTAGTGCACACGCCTTGCAGGTCTTTATTTACAAGTGTTTTAGGTTGATCATAAGAGATACTTAAATGTGTTATAACATGTGCTCTGGCTTCTTTTACTAGTTCTTTGTGAAGTACTAAGCTTTGTTAGGCAGCGTCCAGCAATGCTTCCAGTTTTTCAGTGAGCCAGTCTGCAATTATGGACAGCATATCTGTCAAGGCTGCTACTGGGCCCTTGTGAACACTTCTTAGGTGCCATTATGATGCTTTCCTGGGATGGTGGGAAGGGAGAAATACATTGTTCTGTATTTTCTTTATTTCATTATTTGTTTAGGGGGAAATAAGTGTTAGATCAACTTAAGTTTTCAAGCTTGCAGTCATGAGACATCTCTAAGCTCCTAGAACTTGAATTTAAAATACAATGTTGTAGTTTAGAAAAAGGAAAAAAGAGTTTGTTTGTTTTGTTTTTGGTGTGGGCAGCTCAAGTCTATTATCAGCTTTTAGCAGCAGTGAAAAAAATGGGGAAGTTTCAAGACTAGGGTGCCTGCCGTTGCCGGAGAAAGTTAATCGTTAATATATAAAGATAAGCGAGGTAGCTCCAAAAGTAAGAAATACGGCCTCTTGTTTTGTATCTCCTTTAAAATATTGCAAACAAAGAATACAAAGAAAGGAGACCACAGAAGCCATGTCGTAGAAAGAAACTCCAAGAATTTAGAGCCAGAAGGTTGGGTTCAAATCCTCTCGTTACTAGTACTTATTAATTGCGAGTATTTAACCATTCGAGCTTGTTGTCACATTTGAAATTAGGCATAATAATAACTACAATGCTTATTTTATAGAGTTGCAGTGAGAATTAAATGAGACGGTGTAGAGACTGTCTGAGGCTTCAAAGTTTCTTAAGGCACTGCTCAGGGTTGTTGGTTCACGTCTCTGTTGACCCCCTTGACTGCTCCAGGCGTATATGAAGCATGGGACGATATGTCCATTTTAAGGAAAAGCATAGTTTTCAATTACAGACATGAAACAGCAAGTAAACGATTTCCTTTCTCAAGGTCTTGAGGAAGGGCCTGAATTAAAACCAACATCAGTTTGGGAAGATAATATCAAAAAGTTTATGAGATGCTAACTGCAAGTTTTTTTTCAGAATGTTCCTGTAGTATATAGAATACAAAAAGTATATGATAGCAAGATTAAGTCGTAAATAGCTATGAATGTTAACTTTATTTTTGAAAATGTAACTTTATGTAAGAGTATTTTTATATATAAATAGTGAATTAATTTTGACCTAGGAGTCATGATGATCATTGTTAAAAAAGACTGGAGTCTTTATGAACCCATAAGATTTCCCAGGCCCAATAAGTACTATTCCACTGATAGTAACTACTATTTTATTCATCAGTTTATGAAGCAAAACAGGTCAAATCCTCAACAAATTCACCTGTTAGAACTTCTCAAGCTATTTAAATTTTGCTTAACCTCTGAGATAATGTGACAAGGGACTTTATATTTTCAGAAGGTCTTTCCTGAGGAAGCTCAAAGTAGTCTATAGATTTTAAATGTTGTAAACATTGTGTGGCTTCTCCCTAAATTAGAGCTCTCAGAGATGCTGGTTGTATGACAGTGCCCATCCATGTGGCAGTTTGTGACTAAAAGGAAGGCACAGATAGATGAACTGGGCAAAAAGAAACAGATGGCAATTGATTATCATCCAGATATTTACATTCGATAGGAATTTTCTACATGAAAAACTCACACCAAAGCCTTTGAGAAGCCTGCTTTGGCCTCTAAAACAGCTTACTGCTTTGCTCACATGGGCTTTTACATGTTTTACATTTATAGTGTTCCTTAGCCATCTGTCCTAATTTACTCTTTCTCTGAACCTGAACCCAATTGTTAGAGAGCCCATCACAGAAGCTGGGATTATTATTCTTTGGACCAACTTGAAAACTAGTCTAACTAGTTTTCTTTTTAACACTTTTTTTAAGAAATGGAAGTTATTGTCATTTGCATACGCCTCATCATTTCCCCTTATTTTTAGTTGCTGAACAAAAATCATTTAGGAAAGAGCATTTCTCCTCCTCCCGTGCCTTCTCCCTTTCTTCTGTAGTTCTCAAATGTTTGAAAATTAGACACAGTTTTGAAGGCTCGAGGGCTCAAATCTTATATCATACACTCCTTTTTTCTTTAAGGTAATTATCTTTTAATGAGATATCTAGTACATTTATACCAATCATTACATCCTCGTGTGATTTGTTTTGAAGAATTTTGCACCAAATAATGACAGAAGCAATGTTTTCTTTAAAACTTTAGAAGCAATTTTTACCCCCAACAAACTGAAAAATGTGGATCAGGAGATTATGAAAATTTTAAGCATGTAGACTATTGATTACTCTCTTTAAATGAATTGAGTCTTTTTAAAATTTCGAACTTTATGTAGTTTCTGATCAAGGCGAAATTGCTTTAATTTGTAAGATTACTTAAACAAAATTATTTATTTTTTCTTTTAAGATCATATCCATTTTTTTAATAACTCAGAGAAACTGAAAAAGTCATTCTTGAGTTACTCTAAACACTTTATTAAGCCTCCAGTTAGTTCATGTGGAACTATGTAGAACGTTCTGATGAGCGGTGAAGATTATGACAGTCTACTACCAATAACCGCTTCTGCATCTGGAAGCCAGTATCCTTTGCCTCATGCAACTATGACTTCTCCCCAAACCCACTTTAGAGCACCCCCATGCTAGCTCTTGTAAGGCCTTGCGAGTCTCCATAGAGCAAAGAGTCCTCAGAGCTGAGGGAAGGACCAGAACCGTGCCCTACTTCCAGACCACACTTGATTACCTGGGTCCCCAGAGTACCCTGTCCAAATGGCCCTGAGTCCATTCCAAGGATTTCACAGGCATTTGCATTGAGTTTATTCTCTTGATGGTGGACATGCATGGATGGTGGATAGGGCTTGGACATGCAAATGGATTGTCCAAGGATGGAGCTTGTGTAGGAAGATAAGGAGGTGGAGTGTAGGCTGGAGGTTACCCCCACCCCTGGGTTTTAGGATAAACAAAGGGTTTGAAAGCCTACAGAAAGGAAATAAGAGGTGAAAGCAGCTCAAACTTTAAGATGTCTTCCAGTATTGGCAAATGAGGATTTTATGGTTTTTCTCTCTATTTCCCAAATTCCTCAGGAGTCTCCCTGCTCCATTGAAAGAATGCTAGTTAATTAATGAAGTGTTGGTTAAGGAAAAGGAAAACCACATCTGTGCACAGAATTTTTCCAGCTGCTTCCTATTCAGTGCTTGAATGGTAGCAATTATAGTGAAGACCCAAATGGATACATCTTTCATAAAATCTTGAAGATTTCACTTCCTCAATTTTATCTATCTCTCTATCTATCTATCTATCTATCTATCTATCTATCTATCTATCTATCTATCTATCTATCATCTATCTATCTATTTATTTTTATTTTAACACCTACGGCACCTGGTCTTCCTAGGTGGTCTCCCATCCAAGTATTAACCAGGCCCGACCCTGCTTAGCTTCCGAGATCAGATGAGACGGCATGTTCAGGGTGGTATAGCTGTAGACTATCTGTTTTCTTTTTAGTATTAAAAATCTTGGTCAAGTTAGAGCAGAAAACTAATAGTTATGCATCTGTCTAAACAAGGCCTGTTAAAACCACAACTATCTCATCAGCCCTTCCTGTTTTAGCATTCTCTATTCTCAAGAGAAACATTTTTTTTTTGGTACCTTCCTATTCTTTTTCTTATATTTTATTACTTCTTGGTCTATTGTTTCAGAACACTTTGAAACACAGTTTTTAAAATTTATCGGCTAGTGTGCCCAACTTCAATAATCTCAAACTGGTAAGCATTTTCATTGGAGAAAGTTCTTATAATTTAGTTAAGAACAGGGATATAGATGGTAACTTTTTGAACTTGAACTGTCTAGAGAAAGGGCTTTCTAACACAGTTGATAAATAGACTGAAAATAGAAGCAAATCATAGAGCCCAGTTCTTTATTTTAGCTAGCTAAATAAACAATGTTGGGGGTGGGGCATTTTCTAGAATCTATTTTACTTTTCATTACTAACCTTACTAGTGTTGATATGTGCACTTTTATCAACTAGCATGCAGTTAACAGTATGAAACTGAACATGATTCATTTGATGTTTTCAAAGGTAGAAACTAACTTTGTAGCTTTTTTTCCCCTTTTGAATACAACACTGCTGAGGTAAAGAATGTTGTAGCTTGTGGGTGAGCTCAATAGGGCCAATTATAACCTGACTACTCTTCCACCATGTTGAAATATCTGACAGAACTTACTGTGTCCTTGGATAATGGCATTTTTTCTTCTTCTTAGCAGACATCTAATTGAGGAGATTTCCTGTTTCGTAGTCAAGGAAAGATGAAAACAAAAGTACCACACTGTTGCTTCTGACCAAGGTATTTAAAATTTTCCAGTTGATCACAACGCGATATTAATTTTAAGCCTTGTTTTTTAAAAAATGAAACATAGACGTTGTGAAAAAACATGCGTATATTCTATAGTAGCTAAACTATGTGTAGAATGCAAGGAGTGTAGTCAGTGTACTTTAGTCATTCAAAACAAGGTGTAGTATTTTGTGACATGTAATTGACATTGCAGCTTGTAACTCATGTATACTTTGGGGTATAATTTAGTTTCTGTTGATACTTGTTGTGTTTTTGTTGTTGTTGTTGTTGTTGTGTGTGTGTGTGTGTGTGTGTGTGTGTGTGTGTGTGTGTGTGTGTGTTGGGGGGTGGGGAAGTGCCAGAAATTTAGATGTTTAATCCAGGTGTTCGGGACTGGGAGGAATCTCAGAAAGCAGCAGCCCTTTCCTTCTAGTGGGTTTGGGAGTAGAGGAAAAAGCCCACTCCCTGCAGCCAGATTGGGCCAAAATGGAAAAAAGGAGGTGCCAAGATAAGCCTGCCTAATTTAGTCTTTCCAAATTTACCAAATGTCACCCCACCTTCCCTGTGTCAGCGTGATAAGGGGAGTGGTAGAGAAAGGCAAAATGTGTTTTGGGACACTCCCACCACTGGAAACCTGTGGAGTAGGGTGGTAATCATGTTCTTGTGATAGCAGATTGTGGTCCCTTTTCCTCTGGCTAGAAAGGCAGCAAAAATTTGGTTGAAGCATATGATAAGGCTATTTTTGTCAGTGAAGATGGTTGAATAATTCTTAATTCCAGCAATTAGGTGTCCCTCTGTGGACATACTATAGTCCTTTTCTATCACTTTATGAGACTACTGTTTGCCAACTCAGAGTTGACCTTATTTTGAAGTAGAAAGAGTGAGGGACAAAGAAAGACCAAGAAGGGCAATTATATAAGGGAGACAAATAGACTGGAAAAAGAGGAGACTTAAAATGAAAAGAAGAAATCGAAAACTTCCAAAGAACCTGTGGCAAATTTTATTTTCTAAAA